GGAATGAACAACATGTGGGCATTACCCTCATCCTCTCAGATGATTAGTCACATGACAAAGTGTCCTTCAAACAACTCAGAACCAAAGTATTGCTCTGTTTTCACTTAAGACAAATACAAATTTTGTAAGCACTTTGTTTAGAAGGGCAACAAAGCAAAGAAAACTAGCAAAAACGCACAGGTGAGACAACGGTCGTGGGCTATACAGCATCTGACCTCCACACTAACTCAGATGCTAGCACACAAGGGAAGAGTGTCACCCTTAAAGCAGGATGCCCGGAGGCTGTACACACAACAGGTTTTCAGAGGGGCAGCAGGCAAGCTGAGGCTGAGGTTCTAAAGGTGCAAGAGGACCCTCCGCAAAAGCTGCTCCTGCAGCTTCTCCCTCGTTGCCATCCTTTGCCCTCCCCAGTAGTCCTACAAGAGAGAGCACGGAAGATAACACCATTCAACAAATGACTCAGAATGGTCCTCAGCTCCCACTGCCCCTCTTGTAGTTACAAACAGGAGAAGAAATGAGCTCCTCATGGTGGCCCAGTGGTAATGCAATGCTCTGTGATGCTGAGATCACAGGCGACAGTACCAGAGGTCCTGAGCTCTCTCTGTATATGCTGGGCATGTGCACATGTCATGAACCTGGCTGGCTATGGTTGGGGTGGATCACACTCTGTTGGGGATGCCTCTCTCACAGAAGAAAACAAAAGTGGGGGAGCAAAAGCACAGCAGTTAAATATTTAATGAAGGAAGTCAGATCCCACATGGCCAACCAGGTTTTGAGTCCTAGCCCGACAAGGAGAATTTGAGGAAAAATAACTGTAGTGAAATCAGGCCCCATGGAAGTGCTTTCTCGCTCCCTCCCTCTCTGGTGCACATACACACATTCTGACATTAAAAAAGAGAGAGACACACACTGATAGTGCCTTGCACAGAGCAGGAATCAGCTCAGAAACCCAGGGCAAAGAAGACACCATCACTGAAAACCATTTGCTCATTTCAGTCTTACAAAGAAGGCTGGCTCAGCCTGGCAACCACAAATCCTATTAGACAATTTCAACATAAAGTAGATGGAGTTTTTTCTCTAGGGTTTGAGGGACTACAGAAAGGAAGAAAGACATGCACAAGAGTATGAAAAATAATGATTATTAAAAGGTCAGCCACCAGGTGGTGTGGTGGTTAAGGCTTCTGGATCTCACATGGCTGACTACATGGTTCAAGTCCCAGACCCAGCAGCTAAAGACACACTGGGTGTGTCCCTGGCAAGCACACACTCCCTATAGCAAAAATCTCTCTTAAAAAAAAAAATGCAGGGAATCAGCAGTTAGCGTAATGGCTATGTCGCTGGACTCCCACGTAGTCGACCGCGGTTCGTG